CTCTCACACACACACTCACTCTCACACACACACTCACTCTCACACACTCACTCACTCTCACACACTCACTCACACTCACTCACACTCACTCACACACTCACTCACACACTCACACACACTCACTCACACACACAAACACACACACACAAACACACACTCACTCTCGCACACACACTCACTCTCACACACACTCACTCACACACACACACTCCACCACCATCAATAACAAAAAGCCAAAAGCATAATTAAATTTAGTAAAATATTAGAGGCAGCAATCAATATAGACATTTCTAAGCCCTAGCTCCATTTGCATGAAAATTCTTAATAACTTCTCCTTCCCTCTAAAAGTAATCTCCCCTTTGAGTCAATCCTGACTCCTTTGAAAGGGAACCTGTTGAAGTCCTTGTTACCATGGAGCACATGACGCAGTCTCACAAGGCTGAGGTCGAGTTCCACTCCGTGCTCTCTCTGGCCAGGTACAATGAGGATGCACCACTGGATCCTGCCTCGCACTTAGGAGGCAGAGGTCGGAGGGTCCCCATGACTCATAGGCCAGCCTAAACTGCTTAGCAAACTCTAGGACAGAGACCAAGGCCAGCCTGAACTGCACAGTGAACTCTAGGACAGTCTGATATTGTCCTAAACAGGCTCCTCCTAACCCATCAAAAACCAAACAAAAACCGCAAAACCTCCAACCCCAAGATCTCTGTGTTCATTATGTTCCATCTTCAGTTTGCTGTAGGAGACAATGTTTATAAACATTGAGATCCTGTCTAACAAAATAAAAAACCCTTTGTTGCGTGTTTTGGGCCACCATTTTAGTCCCAGCACACAGGAGGCAGAGGGAGGCAGATGTGAGTTGGAGCTAGCCTGGTCTACATAGTTCCAGGCCAGGTAAGACTATAGGGTGACACCTTCTCCCAGATAAACAGAACCAACCAAACTTAAGAATGTATTAATTGGCCAGGCAATGGTGGCACCATCCTTTAATCCCAGCACTTGGGAGGCAGAGACTGGCAGATTTCTGAGTTGGAGGCCAGCCTGGTCTACAGAGTGAGTTCCAGGACAGCCAGAACTACAGTTAGAAACCCTGTCTCGAAAAACCAAAAAGAATGGATTAATGTTCACTCCATTAGACTCTTTTACCTTTTAGAATAAAACGTATTTGAGCGAACGGAGGATAATGAAGAAACACATATGGAGGTATCCAGCATTCACCAAGTTCTCTCCTACAATGGCTATGCAGCTGGCTGTCTCACAAGTCAGGTACACAAGAGAAAAATACTCTTGCATAAACCAGCAGGGACTGCTCAGTGGGAATCTAGTGTCATAATGCTGAGACAAGCCATGAGTAATGTCCTCAAGAACCACAGGCATGGCCAGTCCTATGTTCCTTCCCATTGGTACTAGGGTCCCCACCATCCCTCTCCCAGGGCATCATCTGGGCCTCTAGCACTTACAACACCATAGAAATCAGAGATGCTCTACCTACACAGTGTGCTGCTGCCAGATCAAGCAACACTGCCACAGCCATGTTTCCTCCCCTGAGACACAAAGTCCAAGAAGGTCCCAAGAGAACTCTGCTCAGTGCAAGCCACACCTTGTTCTGTTTAGCTCCTGAGGTGAGGTACCCCAAACCCTAGTAGACACTGTCAGAGAAAGAATCAAGTGGAGAACAGTTTGTCAATTGTTCCACACATCACCAAGAGATCACATCTCCCCAGTCAAAGAATGGGGGCTCATTCTCCTAGTGCCACAGCCAATGAGGGGGCAGGGCCAGCTCTCCTGACTACCACAGGTAGTGAATTGAGGGAGAGCATCATCCCCCACATCCATGCCAGCAGATTGCCTCTAAGCATATCTGTAGGGTATTTCTCTAATTAATCATCAGGATGGAAAGACTCAGCCCACTGTGGGCATGTGCCCCTGCCCTGTTGATGGTCCCGGGTTGTATAAGAAAGCTAACTGAGTAAGCCATGGAGAGCAAGCCATAAAGAATGACCAAGCCTCCATGGCCTCTGCTTCAGTTTCTGTCTGAGCCTCCTCTGATGAACTAACCTCTGAGTTCTTTCCTCCAAGCTACTTTTGGTCATGGCCTTTTAATACAGCAAAAGAAAGCACACTAACACACAAACGTGTAGCCAAACTATACTATGTGGTAAATGTTAGTTCTCAAGACTCTCCAAATATCCAGAAATGAGATCAAGCTGGATTATTGGATTTCTGACAGTTAGATAAAAGCCATTGTTCCTCAGGAACTTCTGAAACAAGTTCCCATCTGCCAAAAGGATCTTTAGCCTTGTTTGTGCTACTGTTATTTACAATGTACTCTCTTTACTTACTAGATACATTCTGGAACACAAAAAGACAGATTGTCTAACTTCAATATACTTAATAGATAGTGGCTCTCATTCCTGTCAGAAATCTGCTGAATGTAATGTTAAATGTTACTATGGTAACTATGTTACTATGCTTTTCTACGGTTAAAGCTTAATTTGGTAGACAGAGACTATCAAATACTGACAGTGAACCCCCAACTCCCACGATCTCTGAGTGACATGGGCACAGTGACAACAAGACTGCCTAGACTGTGATATGATAACCACTGAGAAACACCGCTCCATTGCCTTGCCCACTGCCAGGGCTTGGTCTAAACTGTGGACAGAGGATACTCAGAGAGTTACATGTCTCCTATTGTCTAAGACAAGTGAGTCGTTTCTCCCACATTTCTCCCCCACAGGAAAAGGATTCTCATCTTCTGGGCCTGATGGCCAGACTACCTCTGCCTGAATCACGATGGAATTGTCTACTGCAGGTCCCAAAACATGGATGACTGTATTATCCTCAATGGAAACAACTGAACTGACAAGGTAGCTAGAGCTGTTTCACCCACCACAGGACATTCTCCAAGGTCCTTACTTCCTTGACATCCCCCCTCATAAATAACACTAACCTGTCATTTTGCCTTCTGCTTCAGACCCTGAGCTCCGCCCACCAACTCCTTAATGTCATGACACCTGGGCACATTAAAGATTACTGCCTATGTGTACACCCTGAACTAACTCACAATTGCCACTTACAGCTTCTCCAGTGACCCTGCCAAGTAATCTTACTTCACCTTTCACCAGCTGCCCTGACTCTGGTGTTGCCATGACCCCATACCTCTTCTCTATCACTCTGAACTATAGACTTAAGTGTTTCTCATGCTAATCTATAGAATCAACTATCATATTCACAAGTAATTTTAAAGTTTCCTTTAATTGTCTTTTAAATGTAAACTTAAAATGTTTCTCATTGTGTTAAATTGATATATATTCAATCTCCCAGATAGAAGGGAAAAGCCCTTCTTGCTCCTTCTGCTCCATGAAAGGTTTTTGTCTTCCCTAAACTCATCTTAAAGTGTGTTCATGCTGTTAACAGATTTATCTCTTTTGTAAACTTAAGAGCTCCAGGAAACCCACTCAGATCCACCTCTCATGGACCAAACAGACTCCATCTAAATAAGTACACCTGCCAATCAATAGCCTAAGTTTCTACCTGTTACCTATTCCAGAGGATGGGATTCCTCTCCTGCTCCCTGGGATTGGGACTTCTCTCACCTCAACCACCAAGACCTAAGGGTTTCAAATGTACACCTAAGAAAATTTTTCTCTCAAAAGTACATAATTTTATTCTCTACCTATAATATATATATAGGAGTTTCAGCATCTTGCAATGTCCAGGCTTTTACTGAAAATCTGCATCCAGGACAGCTCCAGAGAAGCAACCCACAGATGGGCCAGCACCTGCTCTCACAGACACAGATGCTTCTACTGGACCTACTTCCTCCTATCCACAAATGGTCCCACAGAACCTGGACAGCAAGGAAACAGCCAATTTTCCCAAGACTGGACCAACATTCCCATCCCCATTTTCTTAGGTTTCCC